TTCCATTGTCCCCCCCCCCCCCCACACACACATCTTTGTTTCTTTCTAGTTACATTAGTTTTAGAATTATTTCCCTTCTGTTACTTTCCTCAGTCCTTGTTTCCCTGCATATCTATGTAGTTTCCCTGTGCCACTTTCTCCCTGCCCCTCAGCCCAGCTCTTACTTTCTTCTCCCATCTGCAATCAATTAGCTCACCAGCCCTGGTTTTGTCTATCTCTACCTCCCATTCTCTCCCATTATTCATCAGATCCTTATGTTAATTCTCCTCAGTTCTCTGTGTGTCCCTGGTTCTCCCCCATGTCTCCTTACTGGATGTACTTTGGGTTTCATGTTTTGCTGCTACCTTGGATCTTCTGGTTTTGCAAGTGTTCCGTGTCATGTCAGTAAATCATAAAACTCAGCAGCTGCCTCCACTTTGGGTTCACACTCCAACAACCAACATCATGACATCACCTACATTATCCTGGGACTGTGTGCGTGAATGTTGATATGAGGGACATCATTTAATATTCTTGGTGTATTTAGATTCATAATGTAAACTAAGAATACATATATATTGTCATGTTGGGTTCCAGTTTTCTCACCCACATACAGAACACACCAGGAGAGCCGATAAAATGATAATGGTTCATTTACAAGCAGACAAAACAGTATGAATTGAATGACCAGACCTCTGAGGGAGTGAGCGGGTCGGACTGTTGAGGAGAGGGAGACGTTAGTGGTGCGTTCCATGATGTGGGAAAAATGAACTTGAAAAGTGCGGCAGAAAAACCTTACTTGAGTTAGTGAAGTTTTAAACGTTGAGAGGAAAGGTTCTTTCGAGTTCCAGGGTCCTTGTTCTCCAGTTGGTTTGTGGTTCTGATCCAGGGTTCCAGAGAAACTGAATTCGACGGGGAATTCTTGGAAGAGGCGACGGAGGCAGCAATGGAGGGCGGACAGATAAGTTCAGACACGGAGGAGCGGACTGACAGCCAACGGTGATCTGGGAACAGACTCTTGTCTTTCTTGACTGCAGAGGACGAAAAGGGACTCGGGCAACCAGTGGGTATGTACCACGGCGTCACGAGGGGAATCACAAAGGAAACTGGTTCTCAGGTTTGTACAAAGAGTCTTGGAGACTGACTTGAACTTGTCTGAAGAGAGAAACAACAAGGAAAAGTTACTCGGAGAAATCATACAAATTAGCCGTAACAGGGGGCTCTGATTACCATAACTGGAAAACACTCAGGCGTCTAAGTGTTGACTCAGATCTTCTTATGCTCCAGTTGAGTGTCAGATTAGTCACAGGCTTGCTCTCCAGGGTGCAGTCTCTAGTTGCCATCTAGTGGTGTGAATAAGGAAGTAGCAGGCAAAAACAAAAAGAAAAACCCAACCAACAAAAACCCAACATATATGTACACGCATTCATGTACAAGTATATATGTGTGTGTGTGTGTATATATACATATATTTATTTATATACTAGTGTACAAGGCAGTGCCTCCCACTAGTGCACTAGTGGGAGGCAGTGAAATGGTAATATTTTTGCTAATGTTATTTTATGGTAAAGGCAGTGCACTAACTGCAATATTGAGGCTTTTATTTTTGAATATGCATCAGTGGTTGGACTAAACTAGTTATATAACTCCCCAAACAGCAAGTAGTTCTGAATGCCAGCTCAGCCCTCCTCTGTAGTAACTGAGTGTTCCGTCATCTCTGTAGCTCTGACATTCCGCCATCATTGTAGTTCTAAAGTGCAGCTCTGCTCTCTGCCAATTGTCATGTGAGTGAGACACACGGGAAGACAGAATTATATCTGTTTGAGCCTGTCAGTTTCACTGAAAAACACAAGCAGTCCAAACATTATTAGGGTACATGCAGTGGTGCAAGCTGCATGAACAGTGATGAAAAAAAAATAAACTAGAAAAATTTCTGTTCCTAGCAAAACAGTGGTGAGAATGCAAATCTGCAGAATGATAGTAGCAGAATATGCAAGAAAGAGATGGACAAAGCACAAGAAGTTGAATAAAAGCAGAAGGATGCTGCATTCATACATAGTAGAAAGCAGAAGGGGCAGAAAATTTTTCAGAAAAATAAGAAGAAATCAAATTAAGCAGAAGAAATCATTAATAGTAGAAGAAAGACCCTGGTGCAGAAGCTCCCCTCTTTAGGACTTAGTCCCACAGTGGGGAACTGGTTTGTGGACTTTCCTCAGACTATCAGGAGCCACAACACTGTCTTCTTCTTCTTCTCCATCACCCTCAGCACTGGCTCATGCAAGGCTTTGTGCTGAGGAGGCAAACATATGTATGCTTGCTAACATATGTTTGCCAAGCATACATACAGAGGTGAAAGTAGTTTAAAGTAGTTTTAAATTTTTGGTGGTACTATGACAAAAGTGTGTGTGTTGTGTGTGAGTATATATATATATATATATA